GATACAAGTACACTGGGTGACTACAACTAGAAGTACTTGTTTACTCTGGATACAAGTACACTGGGTGACTACAACTAGCAGTACTTGTTTACTCTGGATACAAGTACACTGGGTGACTACAACTAGCAGTACTTGTTTACTCTGGATACAAATACACTGGGTGACTACAGCTAGCAGTACTTGTTTACTCTGGATATAAGAACACTGGGTGACTATAGCTAGCAGTACTTATGTACTCTGGATGCAAGCACACTGGGTGACTATTCTGCTATTTGCAGTACTTATGTACTCTGGATGCAAGCACACTGGGTGACTATTCTGCTACTTGCAGTATTTATGTACTCTGGATGCAAGCACACTGGGTGACTATAGCTAGCAGTACTTGTGTACTTTGGATACAAGTACACTGGGTGACTACTACTAATAGCAATACTTGTGTAAACTGGATACAAGTACACTGGGTGACTATAGCTAGCAATACTTGTGTAAACTGGATACAAGTACACTGGGTGACTATAGCTAGCAATACTTGTGTAAACTGGATATAAGTACACTGGGTGACTACAACTAGCAGTACTTGTGTACTCTGGATACAAGTACACTGGGTGACTACAGCTAGCAGTACTTGTGTAAACTGGATATAAGTACACTGGGTGACTACAACTAGCAGTACTTGTGTACTCTGGATACAAGTACATTGGGTGACTACAGCTAGCAGTACTTGTGTACTCTGGATACAAGTACACTGGGTGACTACAGCTAGCAGTACTTGTGTACTCTGGATACAAATACACTGGGTGACTACTACTAATAGCAATACTTGTGTACTCTGGATACAAACACACTGGGTGACTACAGCTAGCAGTACTTGTGTACTCTGGATGTAAGCACACTGGGTGACTACAGCTAGCTGTACTTGTGTACTCTGGATACAAGTACACTGGGTGACTACAGCTAGCAGTACTTGTTTACTCTGGATATAAGTACACTGGGTGACTACAACTAGCAGTACTTGTGTACTCTGGATACAAGTACACTGGGTGACTACAACTAGCAATACTTGTTTACTCTGGATACAAATACACTGGGTGACTACAACTAGCAGTACTTGTTTACTCTGGATACAAACACACTGGGTGACTACAGCTAGCAGTACTTGTGTACTCTGGATACAAATACACTGGGTGACTACTACTAATAGCAATACTTGTTTACTCTGGATACAAATATACTGGGTGACTACTACTAATAGCAATACTTGTTTACTCTGGATACAAATACACTGGGTGACTACAACTAGCAGTACTTGTTTACTCTGGATACAAATACACTGGGTGACTACTACTAATAGCAATACTTGTTTACTCTGGATACAAGTACACTGGGTGACTACAGCTAGCAGTACTTGTGTACTCTGGATGCAAACACACTGGGTGACTACAGCTAGCAGTACTTGTGTACTCTGGATGCAAACACACTGGGTGACTACAGCTAGCAGTACTTGTGTACTCTGGATGCAAACACACTGGGTGATTACAGCTAGCAGTACTTGTGTACTCTGGATACAAGTACTCTGGGTGACTACTACTAATGGTACGTGTGTATTGTGGATACAAGTACACTGGGTGACTACAACTACTAGCAGTACTTGTGTATTTTTGATACAAATATACTAAGTGACTACTAGTGGTACGTGTGTATTGTGGATACAAGTACACTGGGTGACTACAACTACTAGCAGTACTTGTGTATTTTTGATACAAATATACTAAGTGACTACTACTAGTGGTACGTGTGTATTGTGGATACAAGTACACTGGGTGACTACAACTACTAGCAGTACTTGTGTATTTTTGATACAAATATACTAAGTGACTACTACTAGTGGTACGTGTGTATTGTGGATACAAGTACACTGAGAAGCCTTGTTCACTAGAGAATTTTTTTTAATCTTAGGAAATCAGACTTTTGTTAATTAATGATAAGTAATTAAACATTGTATCAGAATTGATTAGAATAGTGTGCTAAGATTATGAATCATTTTATTTTATTTTTCTACTTTGTCATGATTTTTATACATAATATTTAATTTTTATATCTTGTAGTATTCCAATGTTCATGGCTTTTTAGAGTAGTCAGTTAGAGCCTGCTAACTGAAGGTTTAATTAATACCATGCTAAGGAGTTGGTGTCAGATTATATCTTCAAACTCTGACTGTGTTTGTCGTGAATAAAGAGTTGAAACACAGAAGGTGCTCAACAGTCTTTATTAATGCATGAATACAATTGCAAGTAGTTACTAATACCAGACTCTAAAACAAGACAGGGACAAGTGGGTCTGTTGTGAGTATGTTGGACTAGTGGGAGAGAAATAGAGAAGGAAAGTGAAACTTTTGTGAGATCTTTCTGACCAGTCTAACGTGTTTTCACCATAACTACAACACTAAAATATTTAAGTTAACCTTAATTTAAAATATAAAACAAAACAAATTCTCACATTTGTTAAAGCAAAAAAAAAAACTAAAATTACCAAAGTTAAAATCTAACAAAATCTCTAAGTCTGCTAAAAGTTTGAATAAAGAAAAATGTGCTAAACAAAAGAGAACCTGACTTAATACCAAAATTACAATGCCTTTATACAAAGCTAGGTTGCATAAGTCAGTCCTTAACCCTTCTAATACAGATGGGTGGATTCCACCCAACCCGTATTCTCAAAAGTAACCGTGAAGCACTTATACTCTAACGTTTTAAAATGTACAAATATCTTCACGAAATTTTGCCGATTATCAGTAAACATAACAAGGCATTCATGCACAAAGTATCAGGTTTTTAATTAAGTTTTAACATTTTTTAAATTAATTATTTGCTCATGCATTTTTTATTTTTTAATATTGACTATCCAACATGTGAAGTAATTTTGATTTTAAGATTAAAAATACTTTTATGCATCAGAAAATTTTCAAATTTCACATGCTAAATCTCCATAAC